GGCGGGGGAAGGGGTCGGACGGGGCCGGGGAGCGGCGGTGGCTCATCCACCGCCCGGTTGGGCAACTCCGGGAGGCGTTTGCTTGGGCTGGGTTACAAAAGTGCGAGTTTAAACCTGTGTTCCTGCGGGCTCGCAGCTGGAGCAAAGCCCCCGAGCCGCTGAGGAAGGCGCGAAGGCTGCTCTCGCGGGGCCGTAATCCGCTCCGGGAAGTTAAACTTGACTAAAGCCGGCTGATGAATAATTGAGGATCTGTTTTATTGCTTCCAGTAGCTCTTTCCCACGCCATGTTTGATCTGCTCCTTCCCAGGTTTTAGTTATTTACTGGTAAACCTGTTTCTTGAAGGACTGTGTGCAAAGGGGGAGTCGAGGGTTGCGTATTCCTCAGGATTTATTTGTATTTCTTTGTGGTTTTAATTGCAATACTGTGCCCTGGAGGCTTATGTAGGAGGGAGCTAAATTAATAGTAATGGAGCCAGGTAGATAAAAGATAGCAGTTTGTGGACAAAGTTTGGTGGCTGTAAGATTCCAATAAACACTTCCAAGCTTAAAAATGGAAGCGCTGCTTGCTGAGCTGTGCGGTGTGAAGCAGTGTCCATTAAAGCTATTGCAAGGTGGTTACACCCTGGAGGCCAAGCTGGTGAAACTAAGATAAAATGAAAATGTGACGGAGAGTTTCATGCAACTCTCAAACACAAAAGGAAAATTGCTGATTTCTAACTGTCATAAATCCGGGGAGGATTCAAGCCTCCCTCTGATGTGGTTTGGATTTAAAGAAAAAAAAAAAAGTCACTGTCTCTGCTTATTACAAGCCTGATTTCCGTGGCTGCAATTGCAGTACAAAGGCATTCCTTTCAGGTGTGGGGAGCTGCTGCGTGGATCAGCTTGCAAAGTAAAAGCCAGGAGTCCTTGAAATCTGAGCATAAATAAAGGCTGTTGAATCACTCTTTAGCATCCTCTTGGCATTTATATCATTAATTTAATTTGTGTGGGGTAGCGTGACACACGGGAGCTGAGTGACCATGTTTGGAGTAACGTGTGCTGAGGTGTGGGCTCGTCGTGAGGAACAGCATGCTTACAGCTAAGCAGTCCAAGGGACAGACTTTACCGTATGCTGACTTCCACAGTGCCACGGTCTTACCCAATGAAGCCCCATCCCTGGCCCCGTCTCTTGAATATTTGCTGCGTAGCTTCATGCCATGGCTGCTGCCAAAAGGAGTCCACTGCTTCTGCTAATCCCCACCTTAGTTTTTCATAAAAGTAAACACAAGTTAAGCAATGCGGAATGGGTGTAGGTTTGCATGTCACTGACTCAGAGATTCCTGAACACAGTGACTGATGCCACCTCCTCGCTGTGAGCTGTGGATACCCCAGTGTCAAACCTGCTACACCTACTGCAGGTGATGCAACCCGAAGTAGGAAGAAGTTCCATTACCTGTGTTGCAGATTGCTTATTTTATTTCCCATGACTGAGAGGACATAAATGTCTCCAGAAGAGGTTGAATGCCAAAATGTGGCCAAAGTGTAGTCGGGGCCAGCCGCTTCTGAAGGCATGTTTCCTGATCCCTCCTTCCAGGAAACGAAGCTGGCAGAGCACAGGTCTGACTGGTGACAGGCTCTTAGCAGGCAAGTCCTGTTTATCGAGCAAAGAAAACACAACTACAAGCACTTCATTTTACTTTAATTAAATGCATGCAGGTTAGCGATGCTTAGTAATCTAGGATCAAAGACCTTGTGATCTTTAATCCAGTTTCTCACTGAGTTTACCTAGTGTCTTATGTAAAACTGTTGTCATTTCAAGTCTCTGAACTACTCTATCGCTGTTCCACAAAGCTGTTTGAATCCGAACTCTCATGTTGCATTGGCCTTAATTGTTGCTGCTTACTCGCTGAGTGTGGGGTCACCCAAGGCGTTATGCAAAAATAATAATAATTTGCTGGCATCTCTGCCGTCCTTGGGACTCCAGCAGCTCCTCCTTTGTACTTGGGCCCCTCACAGGCAGGGAAGTGTTAAACTGTTGGTAAGGCCACACTAACTGAAGTGCAGGCTGATTAGTATTTTGAAAGCTGAAGAAAATGTTGTTTTAGTAAAGAATCCCTTGTAGTGGCAGAAGTTTGGGATAGGGGAAAGGAAGTCGTGACTGACCATAAGGACAGTGATAGGATGATGGATACTCCTGGGTGTATTCCAGGGTAACTTGTGGTGTAGTGGGTGGGAGAAAGGAAAAGCTTACAGGCTTGCTGGACTCAGTGGCATGTCTCAAGGTTATGCAGAATTCATCTGCCTCCAAACCCATAACTTAGGCAGAGGCTGTGGTAGCTCATGCCCAGCCCCTGGCGTGGTCAGGTTCTTCATTCCAGGTGTTCATGCAAGTGCTTTTCGTCTGTGGGAATGCACACACAAGCATTTGCCCTCCTCTTTTTTTTTTTTTTTTTTTTTCCCCCCACTAAACTCAGTGTAAAGCTCTGTTTCCTTGGGAGTGTCTTGCCTGATATCTGCCTGTCCAAGGAGGGCGGAGACTTAGTGACAACCACAACTACATGCCGTGGCAGTCTATGATGGGCTGGGGACCCTGGTCATTGGTTCCACCTGCACGAGCCGGGTCCAGCAGCGTATGGAGGGCACAGGCTCTGTCTCGGGCCAGCGAGGGGCCGTGCGGGAGCAGAGACACAAGAGGGAGCGGGGACACTGGCTGGGGCCGTGGCAGCGGCCGGTTGCTTGCCCGGTCTCAGGGACTCTGGGGTGCAGCAGGCTCCTCAGGCAGGCAGTCCTGCTTCAGCAAGCGCTGCACTCACGTTTTGGAGGCTTAGAAATGCAGCCCAGCCCCTTTGCCTGTGTGCAGGGCTTACACAACCTTCACCTTTCTGCTCCTTGGCCTTTAATTGCGGTACGATACTTGACAGAAACTGTTTCTGTGCTTCACACTTTAGCATGGGGTCAGATGTGAGGACTGCTTCCAAACTTTTTTTTTTGGGGAAAAAAAAGCTATTTACTTCTTGGTGTTTGTGTTTTGGTGCAGAGGGGGAGGCTGTTTGCTTCTTCCTTCTCACTGAAACCACTATCAAAATCTGTTAGATGGGAACACTCCTGCAGAGTTTTCTCTCTGATCACAGCCATTTTTCTCACTTTCCCCCTCCTTCCTCAAACCCTCGTATTTTCTTTAATGTTGGTCTCCTTGGCTACGAATTATTTGTGTATCTCCTTCCAGCTAAGGTGGGGTTTACATGCTTCAGTGCTCCTGCTTGTTAATTCATGCTGTTAATCAGACACAAAGAACGTAATGAAACTAATTTTATAAGCTTTATTCACTGTCAGAAATAAACCAGCCCAAAAGGTGTGGTTCAAGGTAAAAGCACGGGGCTGGGAACCAGGAGTACCTGATGGCTTCTCATGCTTGTAACACCAGGGCTCTGTGCCTTCCTGCCATAGCGTCTCCATTCAGAGTGGTACTTTGTGGGAAGACGTTCAGAGCATTTCTCTGTAAGGCAGGCTGAAGTGTGAAAGCGTTGTGGCAAGCACAATTTGTCCTCCAGTGCCAGTTGCATCAGGGGTCAGAAACAAATTGCTCCAGCAGCATGCAGAAGAATGCTGCGGGCACTGGTGGTGTCCGTCCACAGCAGGGAGAGCAGCTGTGCTGCCTCCCTCCCACTGCCCTCAGCTGCTGGCAGCGAAACACGGAGGGGGAAAAAAACCTCCTTGGGAAGCCCCTGCGTGCCCCATTTCCATCGCTGTGTCCGAGTGGTGCAGCGCAGCGTTCCCCTCCACTCACCCCGGTCCTGCCTGGCACAAGCCAGAGGGAGTCCCGAGGGATGGTGCCACTGCCAGCAGGCAGCCAGGGGTCAGGGACACCTCCGCTGTCCCTCTCCGCTGCGTAAGTGACAGGGACCTGTTGTTGTGATAGGGCTGAGTGAAGAACCTGTAATTAACTCTGTGCTTTGATGCAACTGCTCTGCCCACAGAGCGGTTGGCAGGTGAGGAAGGGCAGGAGCTCTCTCTCTCCAGTTGGTGTGGCTGGTGGTTAGACTCTGCTGCTGCCTCCCCCCTCAATTCCAGCCGCTGACGGATCGGCCAAGATCAGATCCTGTCTGTGCGTACGAGCTGGTTTGTGTCACCTCTGCGGGCCCTGGACCCACCTCCTGCTCTCCTGGGGGTCGGAGCCTCACGGCACTATAAAGAGCTGCCCAGTTCCTCCTGAAGCATTTTCCTTCCCTAAACATAATCTGGGTGGGGAGGGAATTGAGTGCTTGTGCTAACTTTTGACCCTCCTGAGGTAAATTTCAGTTAGCTACTATTAGAAATAAGCCTTTCAGAATAGACTTGACATCTGTGCTCTTTAAACTCCAGCATCTGGAGTTCTGGGAGGGGTCTCTGCACCTTGCGGGTGTGCGCCAGGGTTGCCAGTGCCTGCCCGGGGGTCCCGCTCACCTGGGACCTTTCTCCTCCCATCTGCAACTCGGCTCCAAAACACCCAGATACTCATCAGAATCCGATGGGTTTTGCCCATTCCTGGGAGCTGATACAGCGAATTCTTCACAGCGCTTTTTAAAATTAGGTGGTGTCCAATGTTGTTGTTCCTGTTGCCTCGAACACAGTGCTGCTGCTAACAGTCTTCTCTTCCCCTCAGGTGATGTGATTGAAGTGTACTATGGTGACAATCGCTTTGGGACAATGACCGACTCTGGCACAGCAACGCTTAAACCTCGTCCGAGAGTCCGGCCGCTGCTGACTTTCTTACCCCTTGTGAGTATCTGGCTCGCTGCTGGGATTCGTTACGGCAGTGTGTGTAACTGGTGCCCAGAACCAGCTGGGTTGGCTGCTGCTCTCATCCTCTACCTGAGGGGAAAAAATAAATGAAAAGCAAAACCACTCTATAATAATGCTGGATACAAGGGGTTAGGAGGTGATCTGAGTTCAAGGCTTGTGTTGGGCATAGGCAAGATACTCAGGTGAGAGACGTAAGCATTATCAGACTTGTATTTTCAATTAAAAAAAAAATTGCTGAGCATGTAGATGATAGATCTGGCTTGCACTGCATTTTATCTAACCGCTACTGGCAGGATCTCTCTCTGGATCAGGCATGTTGCTGGAGAGAGCAATAGTGAAACTGTCCTGTTTACAGCAGAGGAACGAGGAGGTGATGCAGCAGGTGTCTGTGCAGAGGCTAATTTTCCAATCTCTGTATGAGGGAAACCTTTCCCTGCAGAGCTACCGCTGCAGGGACCGAAGCAGCAAGTCCCAACACAGCTGGACCCAGAGGTGGCTTTAACCCAGCTGGGACCCCCCCGCTGCCTCCAGAAGCCACACATGGTCGTTGCTGGCTTCGATGCTCCGATGCTGCGTGTGCTGAGCAAGCTTTCCTCCCCCATGTAATGCACCTTTCCAAAGGTCTTATCCCTTAAAGAGTACAGCGAAGCGCGTGATTGCTCAGAGTTATTTTGGAGATGGCGATAGCTAAATCTGAAGTGATCCACGCAGGTCACTGAAGGTCACTTAAGACAGTGAAACAGTTAAAAGCCCTTGGTCTTGAAAAGGAAATCCTTTCTGAGAGCAAGGGATGTTTTTCCTCATACATCCTCATCCTTTAGAGCAGCCATCACCTTCAGCAGAAAATGGGCTGGTCTGCTGTCACCTGGGTGCAATTAGGAATTAATGGGGTTGTGCTGGTGTCATCTGGAGGACAAGGGGGGGCGTTTATATATCTATTTGAGAACATAATTAGGAAGGTATGGGGTTACACAGGTTCTACAAAGGGGTTGTGCCCTCTGTGATCCCTTCCAAAAGATCACAAGAGGTGAAAAATCTCACCTGAGCTCCGAGTCGAGTAACCGTACGACTGGTGCCTGAGAAACTCCTGTCCAGTAGCACAGGCTTGGGTGTGCGACTGGAGCTGGCACCCCGTATCACCAGGTTTTTAGAGTGCAGCTGGCCTTTTGCATCTTTCTAGAGCTTTCAAATGCTTTACTAGTGGAAGCGTATGTAGTAGAGGAATAAACAGCACAAATGTCCCTGGGATAAATGCTAAGGGCTGTCACCCTAGCCATGGTGCTTTCCTGCTGCCTGCAGAGGCACAGCTGGCCCTGGGGTTTTTTTCCCCTCGATTGCCTTTGTGAGGGTCCCTCTCACTGTGCTTCTCTTCCAAGAGTAACAGGTTTAACTGAAGAGATTAGTAGGAATAAGCAACAATTTTTAAGGACCAGTCTGTGTTGGATATTTGCATTATTTTGATTAGGTTTGATGATGATTTGATTTGGCACAGACACTTCTGCTGCCACATACATACTTGCACTGGGCTGTTCTGCAGCTCCCGCCTTAACCCTTTCTTTCCACCCACCCGTTCTCCTGTGCAGGGGGAGGCTGAGAAGCAGCCGCCTGCGTCGCTGTGAGTCAGGAGGATGCACACACACCCTGCCTGGCAGCCAGGCCCGCCGGGCTTCGTGTGTTTGTGCGCCTGGCAGCTCTCCCCGCACGGAGCAGCTTCCTTCCCACCTGAACTGCCTGGCCCTTGGCCGTGCCGTGCTGCGCAGGGAGATGAGTTGCAGCAGGGATTACAGGAGAGGGGGCTTCACTGCCTGCCTCTTGCGTACCACCACGTCCCCCTGCCCACCCGGCTTCCCAGGCACCGCAGGTGCGGGCAGAGCTTTGGCATCCTGGGGGAATAAATTCCTTTAGTTAACCACCAAACTTCCCTAGCTCTGCTTCAAAACAAGGAGTTTGGGAATAGCTCTTCATATTTGGAGAAATCCTTGGCCTCTGAGACCCCAGGATGCTAAGCAGTTGTATTTTGGTGCGTTTTTTCTAACAGGCAGCCTCGCACCTAGTTCATTTAATGGGTGGGAAGCGTGGGCTCCTGAGAGACTAGGGGAGCTGGGGAACGTGAGGACAGGCAGGCTCCCCTTCACTGGGTACAGGGGATATCTAACTCTGTTCCAGCGCTGAAAAGCAATTCCTCGTGGTTGCAGTGAAAGCTCCCCTCAACAGGATCCTCGGCACGCATAAATCTGATTCAGGTACCACAGACTGGAAATGCAGGTTCCTGGCACACCACCCCGAGCGCAGCAGCCTGCTCTGAATCAGGTGGAGGTCTGCTGGGCTGGTCACACCCCTAGCAAACACAGGAGAGGGAAACAATCTTTCTAGTCATCTCTGGAGACTGGCAGCGTACTGGAGATGCTTTCCATTTTAGAAGCCAGCTCATGACGTGAGGATGGGTGGTTTTTTGAGAGAGATGCTGAGCATTAGCAACTGCAATAGAAATTTTTGGTGTGAAACAGGCTTGCCCAGTTTTTAGGACCTATTGAAATGACATGTCCAAAATTACTACTCATTTATGAAATGTGGACTCTGTTTCCTCCAGCTTTGCATAGATCTCTTCCGACTGCCATTCCCTTTCTAATCTTATCCAAACATGTAATGCATATGTTGCTTTTAATTCAGTGCCCAGACATCTTTGTTTCCCTGTAAATGAGCAGGTATCCTCAGTGTGCTCTGGAGACTGGCAGCAATGAATTCCATAGCAAATGAGAACTGCTGGGTTTTTTTTCTTTGTGGTTTTTTGTATCTCATTGCTCTGGACAACTTCATTATCGGCTCTTGAAGTGCCTCTGCTAGCCTTTGTCTTCTCTCTGGCTTTCAGATGAAGTTAAGGATCTTTCCTCTGCATTGTACTGTATCTTTGGGACCAATAAAGAGGTCTTAGATGAGGCTATAAGGCTCACCTAGTCTGATGTTTTGCCACTAACAAATCTGTCCTAATGCCTTAGCAGACCTTGGCTTCTCCATCAGCACCAAGTTGTCTGATCAGTTGTGCAATCCCAGGACTGTGAATTCCCACTCACTCTCTCCTGGCTCACCAATAACTGGCTCATTCCCTTGTGGTTATAGAGGATCTTTGGTCATCTGCAGGGTGATGGACTTTGCAAGCGAAGCATGTGTATTTTCTTATTACTTTGTCAAAAGCTGGGGGATTCCAGGGCTCTTCTGAAGGAGCCTAGGCTGCTGCTGTTGAAGTCAGCTCTGCCCCAGCAGCTCCTACGTTCCTGAACTCCCTACGCCCAGGGCGGTGTGTAGTGTTAATGTGTTGTCTGAGCCCTGGATGGGGCTGGCTGTATAAACCCAACTTGACCTTTGGTCAAGGAGACTTTGGAATCCTATAGCAATCTCTTGTAAAAATAGTGATAATGCCAGTGAAAGGCAAAGGGCACCGGGCTCAATCATTATCTAGGCTTTTGTATGCAGAAAACTACCGCACTGAGCGGTGCAGACTGATGGTAGGATAACGTTTCCTTTGCACAAGGGGCTGTTAACAGCTAATGCAAACAGCTGCCTGGGGTGAGTAGGAGTGCAACAGGGTGGACCCTGCAGCCTGGGAATGGGGCCATATGTCCCTGACTGCTGCCCATGGGTCTGTGAGCTCCTGCTGCTCATGTGTTATTTCCTTGCTATGGGTCTCTCCCAAGGCTGGTATGTGAAAGCCCAATCTGCTGCTTCAGCCACTTACGTCTGTGCTGACAGGCTGACTCAGCATCAGTTTGTGTTTTGGACATGGGTGCGTTAGTGTACGTTTCCTGAGCAACTCCAGTCCCTTTGCAGAGCGATCTTAGCAGTGAGTCAGTGGAGAAAAGGAGAGGCTTTCTGCTTCTGGCAGGTGTAGGAGGCAGGAGCCCTGGTCAGCACTGCAGGTGAGTCAGCATGCCATGAATATCTCACAGTGGGTGGCTGTAATTATCCAAAGTGTCCTAGCTGTAAGCATCCTCGCAAATGTGTAGGCTGCTAAATTGCACGGTCCTGTACCAGCTAAATGCACTGCTGAGTTTTCAGCATGAATGCAAAGGGAGTAATTGAGAGTGAAACACAAGCCACACAAGTAGCAGTTTTCCCCAGACTGTTCAGATATGCTGGTGCCAGTTTCCCAAAAAGCTGGAAGTCTGTCTGACTTCAGTGGGGTGTGTACGTGACTGCAGCATGGGCTGGCAGTGCTTGCTGGAGAGCAATACCCACAAAACCAGCGGGAGCTATTGAATTTGCTTGGTACATGAATGGTGAGAAACTAGTGCTGCTGATCTTGAGCTGGGGGGCCCTCAGCTTGGATGTGAAATAGCCGTGATCCTCTCCAGCCCCTCTGCACCTGACTAGCACAGAGGAATTGTGTCCATGGCTTGTGCAACCTTGATCACTTCACTCGTCCCTGCGGTAGCTGCTGTTGACAGGGTTTAGGGGGACCTCCATGTCTCAGAAATGCCCTGGATCCCATCAGGCCCCTGGTTGTGTAGACAAATTACCAGCTATACAGGCTAGGGCCTGCTTGTCAGCACTGCTCTGATACCCTGGGCGTAAAACTAACGGCTCTGTTTTCTCAACTATTGCAGAATGCCCAAGAATCTCATGGGGTGGCTGTGCCAACGCCGTCAGTGCCAGAAGACTTCGAGGAAAAAGCAGCTCTTGGTAAGGGATCTTCTCTGCTGAGTCCTTGACTGGTGCTAAGCACTCAGCAGTACCGTGCCCTCTGGGAAGGAAGCATGTGTGTATCAAGCTCTGGAGCAGACAGTCTGATCATGAGATTTTTCACGCTAAAATAGAGTCTACTATTATTTTTTGAAGTAATTGAAAATTAATTAATTTCTAAGGGGTGAGGCACAGTGGCTGTTACAGTTCAGCAAGCTTTAGACAGCTGCTGAGGAAAATAAACTGGCTTCCCAGGAGGACAGCTGGCCAGGGGCGATGCTAGCCACCATGGTGCTGACCGAGAAGGTGCTCACACCACCATGCTCTCGCTCTTCCTTGCAGGCTCTGGCTCCCAGATCAATGGGACCTACCGAATGTACAGCTCGGTGGGGGACCTGCGCCCACAGGCTCTCGAGGGGGACGACCTGGATGAAGACATCCCTCCACCGCCGTCGGTACCCCCGCCACCCCCTCCAACGGCACCGGCACCTGTGCCACCACCTCCAGCCTCGCCGGTCCCTCCACCACCTGAAATGCTGCCTCCACCACCACCACCACCTGAGATGGTACCACCACCTCCTGCCATGGCACCTCCACCGCCTCCAGCCTCTGCCCTGTCCTCCCCCAGCACACCAGCTCCTCCAGACTTCATCCCACCAGCCCCGCTGGGTGCCTTGCCGCTCAGCCAGGCCTCGGTGCCCTTCACCACTGGCATCTCCAAGTGGAAGTCTGAAACGGTGCTGAACACTAGGCAGGCAGACGCTGAGGGGCCGCTCCACCCTGCCGAGGATGGGGTGCCGGCTGCCCCCGGCCCAAAGGAGAGCCTGCAACCCAAGCACTGCCCTGAGCCCCACCTGACCTTCCCCAGGTCCTTCAAGGTGCCCCCACCGGCCCCAGCCCGGTCCTCCTCCATCCCCGTGCAGGAGAGTCAGCCTGTCCGACAGGAGCCCTTCCCCAGGCAGCCTCACGCCCGGCCTCCCCTCCCGCCCTGCTTCACCATAAGACCCGCAGCCAAGGCTCACATGGGAGGAGAAGCCAAGCAAAGAAAGGGGCCGCTCCACCCTGCCGAGGATGGGGTGCCGGCTGCCCCCGGCAGGAAGGAGAGCCTGCAACCCAAGCACTGCCCTGAGCCCCACCTGACCTTCCCCCCTTCAAGGTGCCCCCACCGGCCCCAGCCCGGTCCTCCTCCATCCCCGTGCAGGAGAGTCAGCCTGTCCGACAGGAGCCCTTCCCCAGGCAGCCTCACGCCCGGCCTCCCCTCCCGCCCTGCTTCACCATAAGACCCGCAGCCAAGGCTCACATGGGAGGAGAAGCCAAGCAAAGAAATTCCCCACTGAGACAGGCTGTTGCAAAGCCGGCTGTGCCGAGCCCCCTGCCGCTGAGCCCCAAGCCGGGTCCAGGGTTCGGTCAAGGGATGAATCCTGATGGTCGCCGGTCCCCGCTGCCAGGCTCCGAGATGGAGAAGGTTCCCCAGCCGAAAACAGCCGAGAGAGACTCTCTTCCAAAATCTGAATCTCTCTCTGCAAATGACCTGGACCTCCCCCCTCCGGACTACCCGACCTGCGAGGACGACTGGAGGGACGCCAGCAACCTGAACAGGCTGCGGCATGAGCTCTCGGCCCTCCTGCGCTCCCCACGGAGGGAGGAGAGCCTGCCGGAGAAGCCGGCTGCTCCCCAGCCCATGGATGGTGGTACTGACCATGCTGGCAGCCATAGGCCCAGTCTCAATGGGCCCCAACTTGCCGGACCTGCTGGGAAGGACGTACGGTTACCCACAGGAGGGGAGACCGAGAAGAAAGAGGTGCCCAGCAGCCCCCCCAGTGCCAAAGGGGGCTCTCCCAGCATGGTGCTCCCCCCTCCGGAGAGCAACCCTACCACACAGACCCACAGCGTGATGAAAATCAGGAACGAGCTGGAGGCTGTGCTTTCCCTGAAGAAAGAAGGGAAACCTGCTCTGGGGCTCAGCAGCCAGAAGCAGGGCACCGAGGATGGCAGCAGCACCCCATGTATGAGGAAGAGTCCCCCTGACCTGAGGAAGAGCCCCCCTGACCCAGGTGACTCGGTGCTGCCGAAACTGGCCCCAAGCCCGCTCCCAGCACCAGTGGCTGCAGTGGAGAAGGATGAGACGGGGCACAAGGACCATCCCACTCCTGCTGCTAGCAAGGCCACAGAGAACTTGACCCCTGCTCCCGGGTCCCTCAACAGCAGTGTGAGCCCCCCAGACCCACCTCAGGGACCAGTGGAGGAGCCCCCTGCTCCCACCTCCCCCTCGCCCCCCATTTCTCCTGCACAGAGCCCGGCACCGGAGCCCAATGCAGCCATCTTCCAGTACAAAGTGCACCGAGCTGGGGCCAGTTCAGCCAAACCGCCCTGCACCTCGAGCTCGGCTGAACCACCCTGCCCCACAAGCTTGGCCAGGAGCCCGCCGGGCGCCTCGGGAGCAGGGCAAGAGGAGGTGCTGATCCACCCCGTGACGGGCGAGCGGGTGGAGCGGGGGTCCCCAATGGCGCTGCTCCTGGCAGCCCGGCAGCGTGCCCAGCGGGGCCGGCAGGGTGGTGAGGTGGGAGCTGCGCTGCGGGCAAAGCCGCCCCTGAAACTCAGCAGCGCCTCATCGGACACCACCTCCACTAGGTTCTACCACCATGAGTCCAAGCCCTACTCCTTCACTGTGGTGCCCCGGCCGCCTGGGGCAGGTACAGCAGGGTCAGGACAGAGCAAACCTCCATCCTTCTCCAGCTCCTCGGAGCAGGGCCAGGACGCACGGGCAGTGGGTGAGGGGCAGCCCCCGCACCGGGGGGCGGCTCCCTCCAGCCTGCTGCGGGGCCTCCTTGAGTCCGGGCAGCTGAACCAGGCTGGCCCTCCCCGCCATGGTGTGCCCAGGGAGGAGGAGAACGGGGAGACGGCGCTGGACTATGGGATTATCCCCCCGCCCCCCGAATTCAGCAATGAGGTGGACGAGGCCAAGGGGCCCCTCCCAAGTCGGGAGGAGAACCGCAAGTGCCCCAGCTTCCCCGACTGCAGCCGGGGCTCAGAGGCACCGCGGTATTTCAGGTGGCCCGGCTATGGCCGCGGCTACAGGGGCAGCCATGAGCTGCCGGCCCCGCTGCCCTCAGAGAAGAGCGGGAGGAATAGTGACTTCGTGTCCCAGTACCCAGACTACAGCAGCTCTGCCGGTTACGTTGGCTGCTGCCCGAACCCCCGTCCGCTGATCAAGAAGCGGCTGTATGTCTCTGAGCCTGACAGCTCCTACCCCCGGGCAGCTGCAGCCCCCCGGGGCACAGGTGCCCTCTCCTCCTATGGCCCTGGGGGGTACAGCTCCCCGGCCGGGGAGGGGGTCCGCCGTGTCGGCTCTGCCCACAGGAACGGCCCCACGAGCGTGCAGGGCAGGCGGACGTCCATCGATGCTGCTGGGAAAGCCACACCGTATGGCAGTGCGGGGGCTGATGCCAAGTACAAGGGGCAGAACGGGGATTTCTCGCCCACCAGCGTGGTGGCAGCCAGCAGGTACGTGCTGCCCCCTGAGCTGACCCCTTCTCTGTCCTCTGTGTCCCTTTGATTTGAAGGAGAGGAGTGCTGGGCCCTGGGCTGGCCCCAGAGCAGTGCACAGGCCCGAGAGAAGTCGTTGCCCCTTGGCTTGTGCAGTGCCACCGGATGCCTGGCTGTGCTCACTCCCGGCCAGGGTCTCTTCCCGCCGCCGCGGTCCGGGGCCACGGCTGTGGCATGGTTCCTCCCTGGTCCCAGCCATAACCCTGGCACCCATCGCCCTCTCCTCCCCACGTCACTGAATGGAGACACGAGGTGACAAAATTCGCCCTGCTCCGCTAGGAAAAAAAATAAAATATATAATTGCAATATTGAATAAAAATAAAGGGTTTCCTTGGCTTTCAGTGACTTTCCGCTCTGTTTTCCCTCCAGACCTGCTCATGGCAGCTCGCAGTATGGCTATGGCGGACCCAGCAACACCTTCACGGTCAGGCCCGGGACACGGCAGCCCATCTCCTACACCTACCAGAGCGGCCACCGATAGGCTTGTCCGCAGGGCTGCTCCGCCGCCTTCGTCCGGCTGGGAAGGGGTGAGAAGGCACCTGGGTTAGTCGTCTCCTTCTCCACGGGCACCAGGGACAGTCCCAACCCGGCCAGCAAACACACTGCTTGAAACTACTGATGGAGAAGGCGGGGAATGAACCTGGGACTTGGACTCTTCTCAAAAGACTGTCACGGAGAGTAGTTACTACAGAGGACAGGCTGCTGTCTTGTTACGTGAGCAAACGTGGTTTTCCTTCTCCTATTCCCCCCCCCCCATATTATTTTCAAAATTGTAGCCTGATAGGTCTTCCAAGAAAGCATCCTTAGCTCTCTTTAAAGAGCATCACCACTGGAGAGATTGTTTTCAGTTTGGTTTTTTTAATTGGTTTAAATCCAACATGCTTGGGAGTAGGGAGAAACCAACTGGGAGATGTGCATAATGAAAACAAGCCAGTGTGTAGCTAAATGTAGGGGGATTAAAATAAGGATGTGAGGCCAATGGGGTAGAAAGAGCTTAGGATGTCTAGATCCTAACCTCTTCTGTCCCTACCTCCTTCGATGGCCTTCAGCAAATCAATTATGCCGATGCCTTAAAAACAGCTCCTGGCTTTCAGTGCCTGTCCTGCCGAGCCGGGGGCAGCTCTGCCATGAAGGTCTGAGCTCCCTTCTCCAGGAACCAACTGGGGGGGGGGCAGCAGCTTCGGGAGTACGGGCCCTTGCTTTCCTGCACCTTTTGGTCACTGTAAATGTTTTTGTTGGTAATTATTCTTCATGGAAGAAGGCTGTGAGGCCTGGATGGATGGCTGTAGAGCACTTTGGAGACTTAAGACATTGAGCAATCCTTCTTTTCCTTTATCAGCTGGTGGGTGTCAGCGACTCACCAAGGTGCTGTGCTGGTGGTGCTTTCCTCGAGGGGTCTCTTGCCACTTCATACCCATGTAAACCCCAGCTCTAAAAGCGAAGCCACGGAGTCCTTATAAACTTGTATTGAGAACTTGGCTTTAGTTTGTCTGATTTGGGGGACTAAGAAGCTAAATTTCGGTGCGATTGTAGAGTATTCGATGCTCCCGGTGTGTGGAACGTCTGCAGTGACATACCTAAGGGACCTGGCTCCTGCTGTTTCCATAAGCACTTGTCTGGGTGCTGGGCGTGCGTGCAAGCCTGTCCCTGCTTCCTGCCAGTGCCTCTCTGAAGGAGCTAGTGATGGCTGTGCGGTTGGGTGGGAGATATGAGTAGCCTTAAAGAGGGTATTTTATACTACGGAGCGAGCAATACAGTCTCACGATAGCTGACCAAAGTTTTGAATAGCCAGCTTCCTGAAATTAGAAATATATAATCTTCCTTATAGGTAAACTTGCTGAAAATCACTGTAAGATAACTGTAAAAACTTGTAGAGAACGTTTTCTAATCACTGACAAACTAAAAGCACTTTGAGACATTAGTCTACTTTTATGGAAAGCACTTTCTATTTTCAATACTACGCAGTATCATTAGTTCCACTCCAGCTTATCCTGTGTTGCACGCACGTGTGTATGCGTGCATGTAAGCGGATTTTGCTCTACAATTCAACTCAAAATTCAGCGATAAATTTTCCTTCACGGTGGAATTTTCAAGAGTTATCTCGATATTAATGTCATGTCATTGACGTTCTACGTTTTATGTTACTTCCAGCTTTACCTAATAATTTAATGGTTGTTTCAAATATTGCAGCAGCATCAAAGTATTCTGAACTTTACTTTGCTGTGAATAAAATGAAAACGCAAATACCATTATCGGTCTAATAGCTAATTCAAATGGCATTTTTATGCCAGTAAGTCACAGTGACTTGGAAGATTTCCAGACATGCTCACCCCAGCCAGTATTGAAATAGCGTTTTAAATATCTGGGTGCTGGTTTTTAGAAAACATTTATGGAGAAAAGTGACTATGGAGTAACTATCTGGGTATTTAAGTGTGCCAGTGTCATGTAGAATAGCCCCCCTGCCTTAAAACATGGAAGTTTCTCCATGCAAGGAGCATCTTGAGGATTCTTACTTATCTATGGAAGTAAAGCCATGATCCTGTTTGAGTGGCTTCAGAGTCATGTTTTAGTATTGGATGAAGTTTCACCAGTTTAACTTGAAACAAAACAAAGAAGCCTCTCTGATAATATTGCAACCTAATTGTGTTTTCTTCCTCATGCTTTTTTTTCAAAATAACTTATAACTGCAAATTAATTCTCAAAAGCAGTTTTAAATTTAAAGGCTTGTTGGGAGACTTTGGCCCTCAAGATTGACTTTGCCCAGAAATGGCGTGTGTGCAATTTTCCCCCTCAAGAATTCTCCTAAATTTGAGCATATCTCCAACACAAGTTTCTTTTTTTTGTTTGTTTGTTTTTTAAGAGCACAATGTGAAACTACAATGGTGGCACTTGCTTTGAATTTCACATTTACTGTTTCACCCAGACACGCAATTCATATGTAGCTGTAATATGGTGTTACATAGTGTGGAGTGTCTTGTTTCTAGCAGAAGTGTTTGTTTATATTAAATATTAGAAGCATGATAACGTAAGTCAGTTTTATGAAATAGCCATTATTCATTCAAAGAACGCCATTCTGGGAATGCGTAGTGGACTAAGCTGTAACTAAATCAGGTAGGACTCCGCTCACACTTGTAAAACTGGTTAGCATGAATGTTTTAAGCAGCGGAACTATTCTATTCTTTAAACACTTTGGGCTATCCCTGCTTATTTTGAATGCATTAAGCAAAATTCTAGTATTTCAGTAACAACTAGACATTTATGCTGGGGCCACTGGGAACTGTTTGTGTTACAAAGAAACCACTGTCAGAGCTGTTGGCAGCCAAAGCACTTACGGAGAAAGTTAAATCCGTAATGAAGAGCTTTAAAGACCTCTCAGCTGCAGGGATGGGGAAGAGTTCCCTCTTCCTTGGTCAGGTAACTTTGTCAGGACAGCACGTAGATAAACTCTATTCCGATTCCCATTTCTGCTCCTTCTCCCCAGCTCTGTTTCACTATATAAATTTAGCAATAGAAGAGGAAGAAACTGAGGGGTAGTAATGGAGCAAAGCAACCTGCCTTATAGCCCAGTCTTAGTGCTGAAAGCAATCTTGAAGCCTGGCAATGGAATTATTGTCACTTCAGCTCTCCTGATGCGGTTTAGTCATTCAGGTCTTGATACAACTTAAATTATCCCCTGCAGCTGCCTCTTCCTCAAAAGTACCTGCTAATGTAGTATAACTGATAGCTTTACTTGTAAAGTGTCCAAGTGTCTTATTTATGAGTGCCACTGAACACCAACCTTCTTGCATTAAATATGTCTGGACATATTGTTTTATTACATGTGTGGTCTGTCTTTATTTAGTATTGCTTAAGTGGTTCGTCTGCTCTTAAGATCGAGATCTTTGCATGCAAGATTAAAAGGACAGGAAAATGTAGCTCAAACTGGCCTCAGCAACAATCTGAATTTCAGCTTACCTCGGGCTTGGTCCAATTTCTGTTTACCAGTTGTTGATATAAACCCTGTGGCAATTAAAGTGTTTTTAGAAGCCCGATCAAGGAATGAACGGGCAGCTAGCCCTAACTGCCCTGTCACTCTGCAAACACCCCTCACATCCAGCTGGTTAGGCAGGCTGGCAAAGGAGCCTGTGCAGTTCAGCCTGTGCTTCTTCTATAAATAGTTCTTGGGTTTGAGCTTTTCATTAGTAATGAAACTTGCATACTTATTTGCAAGTCCTAACTCGAATGTTGTACTTAAAATTGAAAATACCGTGTGAGCAATACAAGCGGCAACATAAAAGGCAGGCTTGTCTTCATAGTGGCTTATTCTCTCCACTCCTCAAAATTATACTTATTTACATTCTCACCTCTTTAATCCAGCTCTGGCTACAGGTTCTTCGGGAGGGAAGCGTGCAATGTGTATCTTGAAGCTTTTACTCTAGCCACAATGTATTTATTGAAGTGTCCCCAAACCTGAGCAGCATGTAAAGTAGTCCAGACAGTGTGAGCATATCGCAAACCCCAGAGAACTCTCCAATTCCTTTGCAGAGAGCTACAAAGTCAACAAGCACTGGTGTGGTATTGCCAGTGTTTCTGCCACGCCGCCTGCGTGTTGGTGTGACTATTTAATACAGCCTTGCTGGTACAATCAGCTAGGAGCCAAGCGAACACAGCATGAGTGACTCCTAGATAAACTGCCGCTCTTCTGTGCTTCTCTTACGATGGCGAAAAAACCAAGTGTAAGTGGCTAAAAAAAAAAAGATACTTTTTAAAGAAATGTCCAAATGTTTGGGGGAGATGCTGCCTTGCCGCTTGTCAAGCTGGCAGCTGCTGCCCTCCTGTGGCAGAACATAAACCTTCACCCAGATGCTGAAACATTTGGGTTTGGTTTTTTTTTTGTGCTGCCACACTAAAAGTCTTTCAGCAATTGTAAAAGAACAGGATTAATATATCGATAATGACCTGTTGTCGATCTAGGCTTCACCTTCCACCATCATGCTTTTTGCCATGGACTGTTGTGTTTTGCTCACAGGGTGGCAATGTGAGGAACTTAACGTGATTCAATACTTGACATCTGAAACTCCTCTTTTTAGCTAGGCACAATGGAAAACTTACTTCAAGTTTTGGAAAGAAAAGCTTCCTGAAAACAAGCAGGACTGACTTACAGCCTGCCTTGCACTAGTGCTGAAGAATCATAGGACCCTAGCATTAAGCAGTAATACGGTGCACATTTATTTAAGAACGGTTTTAATTTCAGGGACTGAAATCACAACTTCACTTTAACTGTGTGAATGATCTCAGCTGGCTCTTCAATACTACAGAAGTGGCTCAGTGAAACTTATACCCAGGTACAAATGAAAACTATGATTTATTTAAAAACCGTCTTCCACTTTTTCCAAGACAACTTTTTCACAAACAGCACAAGACCTGTTTCAGTTTTCAGTACACCATCAGAGGTCCGTAACAGGTAACTTTTGTTGGTTGTTCGAGGGGTACTTTTGAAGA